ATCCTCATCCTTGATGTCCAATAAGGATTTCATATACTCAGTGGTGTTATCTTTCAACTCTTCATTGCTTGGAGGCTTCCAGTTAGTCCTATCTTTCAGTCTTTTGTCATTTCTTACTCTAGAGCAGTGGTTGCTCCTTCCAAGCCCAAACCATTCAAAGTTGTGATGGTTACTGTGACAAAACTTGTGGATGGGATCTCCATTAGAATCCCTCTTCTTTGAATTGCTAGCAGTGACACATAAAGGGACTCTGCACAGGTTGCACATACTGTAAGTATTTCCWCTGCACATTTAGCGGATATTTTTATTTATTGACTTTTTAGGCCCAATCGCCTTCAGATGATTTGCGTACTCAGTCTGAGTGAGGAAGCAAAATCTTCCATTTGCCTTGTACTCCCCAATGGTCTGAAAATTGTGACATCCAAGCAACTTACCATCATTCTTAAGGAAAGGCTTGGATGCTTTTCTTCTAGTTGCCCTCCTATTGCTTCTGAGTTCTAAGAAGTACTACCTACTAGTGGGGATGTCATAGTAGTAGTGAGCACTACAAACGGCTGGGTAGTACTACTAGTACCGTAAGGCTGTTCTGTTGGTGCTGCTCCCCTCTGCTTGCAGCACTGTAAAAATGAGATGAAAATTTCTGTTAGTAGTAGTACTATTTGTACGGGAAGCAATTGCCAATAACTTGCCAGTATGGAGCTTGCTTGCTGCCTTTAATAGTAGTACTACTACTGATATTATAACAATTGATCGTGAGCGACACTAGTACTACTAGTAGTAAGAAAGTGGTTCCCATCGTTAATTTAGTTATGCCATCCTTAATTTTTTCAGTTCAAATTCTACAGAGCTCTAGTACTGACTGTTGCTCCCCAAAATTTTCAGCATGATTTGCCTTCTGAGAAAGAAGCAGGATTGGTTCTCTGCCACCAGAATAGTTGCAAACTACCTCAGTACATTTTGTACTCTGTTCTATTGGACTAATCATTAAATTAATGATGGGAACCACTTTCTTATTGCCGTGATCAAGTGTTTGTTATGATATCCGTAGTATTTCTACTAGGCAGAGTTTGAAAACTTGTCCAAATTGACAATGACGCAAAACTGATGAAAACCGGCGCGCTTCGCTTGCGCAAAAAATTGGCGCCCTTATGTAATATTGGTTACTTCTACTATATGTAACAGTCACTTCACCGTGAAGTACAGTACCTTCCATAAATACTTAAATAGGGCGTTTTTAATAATAGTAGCTGTACGTGCCGTACCGCCGTACCCTACGGTACTCGTACGGTGCTTTCTAATTTTTCGTTTCCTTCGCTTCCGAGCATTCTGACACATTATGCCATACTCGTACCGTGAGCCTCGTCTCTGTTGGATTGGACGTGCCTTTTTGCGCTGCCTAGTATTGTTATCTTTGTGCGGTACTTGTATTCGTACCCTGTGTTTGGTTGCAGGGCACTGGAATKATCTCAATTAGTTCATAAAACTTTCCAAAAATAAGGAAGTACGGAGCTGGAAAACTGTATTCTCTTTGCACTATCCTCTTCTTTCACACGCCTATAAGGACATCGTTGAAAAATAAAACCGTTTATTCTTGAAACTACCATAATACCATCGACTATTCCACTCGGCAGTAAAGGCTGATAGGATCGCAGTCAGCGCGAGGAAAGTTCGCGGCTCTGATGTTTGCATGGTTGGTGTCGTGATTATTTGGTTCGGGAATTACGGTTTTTTTKATTGTTCATTTTCTATTTAGGGTCACGCTGTTTGTTTGTCTCCAGTACCCAATATCAGTCATTTGGAAGGACCCAAGGTTGGAACATAAGGAAAGGAGAAGGAAAAACAATACGTGCTGAATTTGCGACATTGTTTAAGTATTCAAACAATCTACACATCATGGATTCTTTAGTGTCTCCGAAGGTTCTACTCCTGGGTATTTCGTACCCTGATGTCAAGGGTCAYATGGCCGAGCATAAATTCGATGACTGCATTCTGGAGAACTCGGACCTCTCTGTCGACCAAGCCATCGAATGCGTTCGTCGGAAGATCCTTACCGAAATGGACGGTAGGGATCTTGCACGCTGCGTAGCTACCGAGCAGGCGGGGGGTGGCCACGAGGTTTACACTGTGTCAAAAGAAATGGGAGGAATATATCGTTCTGACCGACACGTCTATGCTAGTTTCAACAACTCGAGGGGTATGAGGAAGGCCATGCTTCAAGCATTTGGCCACATACAGTTTCAGCAAGTAATTCTGGATTACTAYTGGATGCCGACGGTGAGTTCGTAAATGCAGTAGTACTTTTTTGTGTGATTTCCTAAATGGATKTTTGCCATATGGATTATATAGATTGTGTCGAAAGGCTGTTAGTGAAGTTGTCATTCTTGARACCGATCCAATAGATCATTTCCTCACGTCGCAGTTAATGTTGACCTTACCGTTCCCTCGGATCCTGCTATGCCAAAAATGACAATAGGGCTGGTTGGTGACGAGGTGGGCCAAATCACTTTTTCAGGAGACGCTCCCGGATCTGGTTAGATACAATATGCTTGCCTACCCGGGAAGCCGGCCACGATCACCTCGAAAGACACGAGTGAAGAAAGGACAGAGAACTGCAGATAATGACAACATTCAAAACAATAGAACAGATATGCAATTGGAAGAAGGCGTCATCTTTCTGCCATTTTGTGCACACGTCTGCAAGGAACTCGTGGGCGGCATCGATATTCTTGAAAAGTACTTTGCCATTACATTTGTGAAGAAAAGCGAGTTACCGGGGCATGCTCTTTGGAAAGGGACCATGAATATCGATGAGAATGATATGCAACATCGTCTCGGCAAGCGGTTGGACCAAGAAGAAATTTATTGTACATTCCAACCAAAAGATATATATGAATCGATGGAGGATGCTCATGTTTCGAAAGACGAGGTGATGAGAATGCTATTGAGCATCGAGGACTTTGAAAACATAAGGATGATTCGTTTGCGTCCGCTTCGGCAGCACGAACCGCCCTCGGTATTTCGGAAGACAGTTGTGAAACCGGAAATAGGTGGATTTGTTGGTCTAAATTGGAAAAAGGGCCGCCAACTTTTCAAAGAGTTTCGTGGACGGGGAAAGAATAAGCCACTACCTGAGCCACCCAAGCCACCCATACCACCGAAACGAAAAGTTCTAAAATCAACCAAGAAAAAGAAACTTATTGCCRCATCATGCGATTCGGGGTCTGAAGTGGAAACAGAAAAATCAGATTCCGAAAGTTCTAGTTGGGAAATTGACACAGAGAGTGATTTTAGCAGCGATGAAAATAGTGTTGAAAGAGACGAGAAACCTTTCGATCCACTCATTCCAGATAAAATTCCACTTGTCACTAATTTTTACCCGTATCCCGCTCTTGACCTTGAATCCTACATGGGTGCTAAGGAAATAATGGTTAACGATCGAGTAATGACCTCCTGGGCGAAAACATGGGGCCCGAAGTCTTCCCGTAAGAAAAACCGGAAACAGGATATTGACAAAGTGGGATATCAGCGATTCCGACAAAAACAGAGGGACTATCTTTGCAGGAACTGTAGACTGCCAGACCCCAATGCCGAGCAGGAAGATGGCTACAAATGGACGCTTGTTGATGAAATGGAAATGGTGGACGAGGAATCTGAGGACGAGCAGGAAAAACGAAACATCCGCTCTGTCCGTCATAATGTTCGAGGCTGGAARAAGACTCTGAAGGGCGATGATCCTGAGCGKGATCATGTACCTAAAATAATTGAGCTAGCGAAGAGGGATAACGAAATGATAGCGTGCCGRCAGTTGTTTGAGATGAAGAACCCTGGATTGAAGTCGTTTTCTCGCACTTGGTTGAACACGCCTTTCTTAAGTAAGTCGAATGATAATATGCACACAAGCCCTTTTCAACGTTGGTTACAATTTTCTTGTGCTTTCTATTTTTTCTGACCCTTCGCTATTGGGGACTTTTTCCMTTCATAATTCAGGTTGTTATCAAATCCCCCAACATTCTGTCCTTATGAAGATGAACCTTGCAGAGAAGAAGAAACAAAAATCGGAATACAACTATACATCTGAAAGGACGATTCATACCAAAGAATTAAAAAAGTATCACCAAAATGATTCAGATGACCGATGTGGGAGGGGATCCACAATCGTAACACCGGGGAACGATTCTCTGCTGAAATCTTTACTATCGTCATCTTCAATTCTATTTCAATTCGYAGATGTGGCCTCGTCTGCGCCCACACTATCTGATGATTTGATGAAACTGTGCAAGGGGTCTAAAGGCTTAGTTGATGTGAAACACGATGTCATTCTTCCGCCGTACAAACCAAGGTTAATCCCAAAACATTTATTTTATGATTTGAATCCACATAAATGTTTTCCAAGAGAGTTGTTCAGGCTGTTGCAAGATGCCGAGAAAAATGTAATTGAACATATTATATGTTGGCAGGAAAGAGGTCGTTCCTTCATTGTCAAACACCRCGAACTATTTGAAACGATTATATTRAGCCAATGTAGCGAAGAGAAAAACGCCACATATAAATCATTCGTAAGCACTATTACAAGGTATGGTTTCTCTGAGATCCAGATTGGTAAACGAAAAGGAGGGTATCGACATAATTTGTTCCAACGAGGAAAACCCGGAAGGATTGATTTCTTGACGAAGCGAATCGAAACTTTTTTTGATGTCAGTAATGTCGAACTTAGTAAAGCTACGAGTCAGAAGTCAGAAGTAGCCCATGAAAGAGTGACAAGARAGCATTTTATCGAAAAACTTCACGAACTTCTTCACAAATCGAAATCGCTTGGGTGCGGGGACGTCATCTACTGGGAAGCAGATGGAAAGTCTTTCAAAGTACACAAACTCAACGAGACTTTTTCAACAAAAGTACTGAAAGATTTTTTCTCCTTGGTCCAATACAATAATTTCAAAACCGAATTAATGGATCGCGGTTTTAAATGCAAAGATGGTAAGAAATACGGGATATTTCAGCACCCCCGATTTATTCGATCTCATAGTAGCGGGTCAAACACTTTTGATCAAATTAAACTGAAGAGAAAAAGGAATTCTGACTCTAGAGAAGACAACAGAGGGAAAGCGGAGCCCAAAAGTACTAGAATTGAGGCATCTCAAAAACGTCGTAAGGGCAATGAAGCTGTTCAGAATAATTCTGAGCTATGCAGAAATAAAATGTCTTCAAAACGATCGACTCCAGAAGAGCGCAAAATTTGTGTTTATCGTTATAATGAAGTTGGGAAGAGCTGGAAGGCCATCAGCAAACATATTCCTGACCAGGCATCTACCCAGGTCAAATCGCACGCTGCAGATTTCGTTACCAAGCTCAACCGAGACAACTCAACTTGGGTGGAGAAGATCATGCAGAATAGCCCTGAAAACCAAAATAAAAAACCGCCGGCCGAGATATCTCGGGTTCGTAASCTCAGACGAGACAACTCAACCCGGACGAAGGCCGCATCAAAGAGTTCTGAAAACCAAAATAAAAAATCGTCGGCCAAGACTACTCAGGACGCGAAGCTCAAACGAGACAACTCAACCCGGACGAAGGCC